TGGGGGGCAGGGAGGGGAGGGATTGGGGTCAAAATAAGGGGGTTGCAATTGTATGGGGAATATAAAAATAAAATTTATTTTTAAAAAAAGAAATGCAAATTCCTGGGTTTCATTTCAGACCTGCTGAATCAGAAGTTTTGGGGATATATGTTTTGAAGGAGGCTTCTGATGCTCACTAAGGTTGGAGTGGTACTGTTTTAGGGCATCCTCTAATCAGCGCCCATTTAGTCATCAAGCTATAGTTGATAACCCAGTTAAAAAGTCATCTTCTTTTTTTTTTATTTAAATTTTATTTTTATATTCTCCATACAATTACAACCCCCTTATTTTTACCCCAAGCCCTCCTTTCCTCGCCCCCACCCCCCATAGAGTGTCTCTTGTTCATAGTTATTTGTTGATTTTGATATTTTCTTTCTTATAGTTATTCTTTTTCCTGGTCCCTTATTTAAGTTTTCTAGATTCCTGCTATGAGTGAGACCATCCAGTATTTTTCTTTTTCTTTCTGGCTTATTTCACTGAGCATGATCCCTTCCAGCGCCATCCATGTAAAAAAAAAAAAAAAAAGAAAGAAAGAAAGAAAGAAAATGCACAAAGAAGCAAAGAATGTAAGTCAAAGAGGCACCCACCACCTCCAAATAACTTAGCCCAGTAAAAATGGCCCCAGGCGATCATATTCAGTGAAATAAGCCAGAAAGAAAAAGAAAAATACTGGATGGTCTCACTCATAGCAGGACTATGGGGGAAGGTGGGGAGAGGAAAGGAGGGATTAGAGTCAAAATAAGGGGGGTGGGAATTGTATGGGGAATATAACCAAAATGAAAATGCATATATTGTGCAAAAATGAAAAATGGTGTAAGAATTATATAAAATAAAATATATTTTAAAAAATGAAAAAAAATAAAACAAAAATTAAATCATCTGAATTCCCACCATGTAAAATAACTATCATTAATACTTTTATTTATTTTCTTACATATGTATTCAAAGTACATAGATGTGCACAAATTTAAAAAAATATATATTATTTTCACAAAACCAAAAAAAAAAAAAGTAATCTTCCCCATCCCACATAAAGTACTGTTTTGTCATGAGGGACCCTAGAACCCACACGTGAGAAACATCATGCAGGTTTATACTCAGGAGACCAGGCACTGGGAGCAGGTCTTTATTTCCCCCCTTAAGAGAATTTTTTATATATAAAAGAATAGGCCACATAAAATTACAATACCAAGCCTCTCTCATATCATGGTTTGGGAAATAAAAAAAAATTTAGATTAGCTTATACTATTACAAACATGTTCTTTTAAGGAATTAAATACCCACTGTTTCCCTTCTAGTTACATCCAATGTGAACAAATGATTCCTGGCCTTGATTTTAGCACTTGCTGCTGCATGTGTCGGCTACCACAACACAAGTAGAATAGTTGAAACTGCACCCATTTAGAAGCTCACTCTAAATTTTATCCAAGTGTGGAAGAATCTGATCAGTTATGGCTAGGGTTTGACTTACTATCATTTCCCTCTCTTTACTTGACCCCATCTAGTTTTTAATTTGTGGGCTCATCTCTCAGTTAGCAAACTGGCATATGTCCAAACTAACTGAAGTACCTGCGAACATTGAGAGTCTTTTCTGGTGTCCAATGCAGGAGGGAAGTCCAGCTGGAAAGAATAATGAAAACAAAACTCATAAAGCATGGGTGAAGTGCAAACTTAGGAATGTGAAGTAGGATAAGACAAAGTTTAAAGAAAGTGTAAGCCCTCAACAACGAAATTTGGGTCCAGATAATATCCCTTAAGCTCAGTGTTCTGAATTAGCATCACCAGTAAACTGAGCTGAGGAGCCTAACTGTTCATTCTAACGCGGTTTTTCCCCTTGTCCACATCAACAGGAGATGGTTGCGATTGTTGAGATAAATAGGTTTCTTTCCTTCTACTTCTTATTTTCTACGTAACTCCCATCTTTTCCCAATAAATTTCTGAGAATTGCTTTGGTCATTTTCAGATAGGGAATGTTTTTCCACAGGATCCAGTCCAAATTTTCTGTGAGCACTTGAAAAGAAAGTGTTGGTCCACAAGGTTGAGTTTAGACTGCTCTGGAGACCAAGGATGCACAATGGTGACATTTCAGTCTGGACAAATTTTACTATCTTCACTGGGTATGATTTCAAATGCCTGATTGTGCATAAGGGATGATGAACTCTCTATTCCCCTATGACAACAAAAAAGGCAGAGAACTCCAAAACTAAAGCTTGCGAATGTCAGTTACTTAAAATAGTGTGTCCTTATAATAAAATCTTAATAAACGAACAATGCATCAGAGTTCTTCATTTCTTCTTCCTCTCCCAATCTTGCAAATAATATAAAAGTATTTTCGGGCCTCCCCAGTGGCACAGCGATTGAGCGCTGGGCTGCGAAGTTGCCAGCAGCCTCTGCAGCGCCGGTTAGATCCCCAGCCGGCTGACAAGGGTCCCACATGGCACGCAGACCTCTCCTGCCTCGCCCGCTGCTCCCCTCAGCAGTGTATTTCGTCACTCTGTCTGTTCTGCTCCCTGCTCTGGCTCTGGTGAATTCTCTAACCCTTCGGCGCTTCTGACTGTACCCAATGCTTGTATAAATAAACAAACAAACAAACAAATAAATAAATGAAAGTATTTTCATGTTTGTTTTTGGCCTCATTACAGTTCTGAAGTGATTCCAATGTCTTTTTACTTCATACTCCACCACCCTATATCACATAAATATTGAGAGGAGGTTCTGCTAGTTTTAACCTATTTAGAATGTTCATTTCTGGTCTCCAGTGCAGCAGGAGTGCATAGGTGATTCCAAACATATGTTTTGTACATAAGAGAAAAACAGTAGAGAAAGACTGCTAGGAAAGTACCCAGCAGAAATACACCACCAAACAAATCTCTTCATTTCCTATTTTACTTAATACATAAACATTTTACAAAAACAAATATTATTATTCCCTTGGATGGCACTGCAAGCAACATATTCAGGGAGGGATGCATTTGTATAATGTGTGGTGAGAGGATAATCAATTATTTCACCTCAACCAAAGACTCGTGTTAGTTATTTGGTTGCTCTTTGGTTATTTTATTAGTTAAATGGAATTCATTTATTTCATAAACATTTACTAAGTACCTTTTACATGGAAAGAATTTAGTAATTTTATTGATGCATAAAATATTTCTTGAGAACTTACTAATTCCTTGGGTGAAATGATTCATAATCAGGGTTAGGAATTTTCTCCTCTGAGGACCTTGAATCTATGTATATGAAATCATTTGTTTACCAACTATCTCTGGCCCTTCCTTCCTTACCCCTAACCATTCCCGCCACTGCTAATGAGAGAAGTAATCTAAGAGTTTGAGCAATGTGCCGGGAAATCCATTTCTAAGGCTCTGCACAACAGTATGTCCCCCTGGGTCTATTGCAGGAAAATATGCACCATTTGAAACCTGAACCATCTGCTGCTGTAGAAAAGCACATGAATCAATGCAGCTGGCCCACAGTGAAGTCAGCTCACTGGCTCATTCTCTGTAGTAACTCCAATCACTGCTGTCATGCTGGTTTGTTAAAAGAATAAACACATCAAAATCTTCTGCCCAAGTAGCTCTTGTACTACTTGAAAACTTAGAGATGAAAATAACTCTGGGCCTCCCCTGGTGGCGCAGCAGTTGAGCGCTGGGCTGCAAAGCTGCCCACAGCCTCTGCAGCACCGTTTGGATCCCTGGCCGCCAGCGAGCATACCACATGGCGCTGCAGACCTCTCCTGCCACGCCCGCTGCTCCCCTCAGCAGTGTATTTCATTGGTCTGCCTGTTCTGTTTCCTGCTCTGGCTCTGGTGAATTCTCTCACCCTCCCGTGCTTCTGACTGTACCCAGTGCTTGTATAAATAAATAGATAAATCTTTAAAAAAAAAAAGAAAAGAAAAGAATTCTAATACTCCTTTCAAGAGTTTCCTACCTAGGAGCCTGTCTCGTACCCTTACCCCTTTCCTTAGCAAGAACCCCTTTGGTCTTTGTGTCAACCCCTGCACTTTGAAAAACTCTCAGTAATACCAATAATCACATTCTATTGAAATTATTTGTTTGCATGCTTCTTGACTGAGAGCAGACACTCTGGCTCCTTCATCTTTGAAGCATGGGTGGTGGTGAATAAATGGTTTTCAGATAGATTTTCATTATTCTTAATGAGTTCATACTATAGCACTGGAAGTACTTATTCAGTGTGAAATTTGTCAGCCTATCTTACAAGGTTCTTCCCATAGTTCATCATTACATACAAGACTGAGAAAATATTTTGCCCAATCATCCTATTAGAATAAATTCACATAATTTTTATGGCCTTAGAGATCTAATTTCATTCCCTTAATTTCACAGATAAGGGGGCCTTTCTGGTGGCACAAGGGATTAAGTCTCATCACTATGAAGTTATTGGCAGCCACTTTGACTGCAGCAGGAGTTCTATCCCAGGCCAGGGAGCTAACCCACATGGTGCAGCAAACCTCTCCTGTCTCGCCTGCTGCTCCCCTCAGCAGTGTATTTCAGTAGATCTGACTGTTCTGCTTCCCACACTGTCTCTGGTGAATCTTCTCACCCCTCCACCCCTACCCCACACCTCTAACCTATACCTCAGCTCTTATATGCATAAATAAATAAAATAAATATTTAAAAACTTTTTTTCACAGATGAGGCTCTGAAATTCCCAAGAAGTTAAGTCAAGATCATACAGCTAATGAATGGCAAAGATAGAATTCAAGTCTCCCTGCTCCCCTCTTGGTGCTTGGTTTACCAGTCCACTATCAGATTTCAGTTTGTTATACTTTCATTTCTGAGGAAGATCATGAAGAGGATTGGCAGTTGAACTAGTTTCAGAAAGAGGGATACAATGTCCCCCATCTGCTTTTGCCTCCCCAGATGTGTAAACTAGGCAAAAATTGCCTAAGTATAAGGAATAAGAGAAGAAATTATAGAAATATAAATAATATGCAGCTAATGAGTTATAAAGAGGCCAATTGATATAGTTTCAGTTTTATAATTTATGATTAAGGAGGGCTACATCCAGGTTAGATCTTCTGCCATAACTGAGCTCCAGGCTTGGGATCTATGGGCCTGCCATGGATCTGAACGTGAGTTCCTGAGATGCACCTAAAATGTGAATAAAATGACGTTAGAAAAAAGAAAAAACTGGAAATATTTCCTAAGCTTTCATCAGGCAACACATCATTCAGTAACTTGCCAAATGACCAGTATTATGGCTATGAGATGAATGAAACTAAATCCTCCCTGTTCTCAGCTGCCCATGGCCTGTGTTATTTCCCACCAAGAACTCTTTAGCATATCAAACACATTCACACATACGTACACTCACACCTTAAATGTATTAGGAATACATGAGCATCTCTATCACAATTTAAAGGGTGGCAAAATACTACCTTGAACCCTAATCTCTCAATCTCATGACTAATACTACTTGGGCTTCTCCATATCACTTGTCCTGTCTCCTTAAACCAAACCACAGCCTGAAAACTATGAAAGTTTGTGGAATTGTACGATTGCAGAGGTTAAGATGGACACTGTTCAGCATAGAGATGCATTTGAACAGAAAATGCACTTAGGCAAGAGAAAGAACAAAGTAATAATTCCCTTACCAAACCTTCCTGCTCGCATGGAATGAATACAATAGAGACTCACATAACTAAGAGATTCTCTTTAGGTATCAATTTGGGGTTCAAGAAGTACTCACAACTAATACTTTTTGCAATATTTGCAGACAGAGAATACTATGAAGTATTGTGAAGAATATTTCAGAATGTTAAGCAACTCATGGCACACTTAGTTTTACCTTTTTGTACATCTAGAATAGTATGTGTGGATGTGGAGAATAATTTTTTTTATGTGCCAACCAGATGAATTTTCAATATTGTGGACAGTTTTATATTTATAGAAATAGTTAGATTTAAAAATAAAATTTAAATGTCAGCTTTAAGAATTGTTACAGTTACAAAATTAAAACTTGTATATCACCTCTTAACATTAATAAATCTTGGTTTAGAATAATTGTACCTTTTAAAACATATATGATAAATTATTTTAATTTTTACACTTGGCTTATACCTTGTCATATTCCTGATCTCAAATTCTTCCAAAAAATAGAAAAGGAGAGAATATTCTCAAATATATCTTATGATACCAGAGTAACCCTGATATCAAAGACAGACAAGGACACAACAAAAAATGAAAATTACAGGCCAACATTCCTGACAAACATAAATGAATGAATCATCAACAAAATATTAGTAAACCAAATTCAACAGTATACTAAAAAGAATTATACACCATGATCTAATGGAATTTATTATAGATATGCAAGGATTATTCAACACAGGCAAATCAATAAATATGATATATCACATTAACAAATGAATAAAAAGAGTTGTGAGACCAGCTAAACAGATGCATAAAAAGCATTTAACAAAATTCAGCATCCTTTCTGGATAAAAATGCTCCACAACTTGGGTAAAGAAGGACCATGTTTTAATATAATATAGGCCATATAACAAGTCTGGAGTTACATCACCCTCCTTATAGAGTTTAACTTTACAAAATGATTCCCACATTGTCCCTTTTAGGAGACAAATTTTATAATTGAATGTAGAGGGAAAAACCTCCTTAACAATTTTGAAATTCCTTCTAGAAACTGCTAGCAGCAATAGCTGCTCCTTTTCCAGTAAACACCCTTATTTGACAAAAGCCAAACTCCTTGATCCCCTCTGTTTTTTTCCAGAATTCAGTAGACTAAGATGTTGCATTTAAAATTCATTTAAGAGTTTAAGTCTGTCTATCCACAGACAACCCTATACTAGTAGACACTGAATTCCTTTTGATAATAAAATGAGCTCCCTTTCCACAACTTAGGATAACTACACCTGCACAGGGACCATCAATACCAGCAATTTTTGTAGCTCCATTAATTTTGAGTAGTGTCTTAATTCTAAGCTACTTATGGGATCAAATACATATACAGCAGACTCCAAATTTAAAACAGAACTTCTATGCACCTAAGAGTTTCCTCTCTAAATTAAGATAGGAGGGAGCCTTCAAATTTTAGATGGTTATTTTTCCCTTTGATATTATCTACCAGTAAATTACAGCTTGGGAGTTCCTACTCAATATATTGGATCTAGAAGGTATTTTTACCTTGGGTAAAGAAGGACCATGTTTTAATATAATATAGGCCATTTTTTTCAAACCCATTGAAATGACATTAAAGGTACAGAAATGAATATAAATCATACAAGCTCTAAGAATTGAGGGATAGGACATGAGTGGACCAAAGATTTAGGGAGTTTATGTTAAAAAGAATGTGATATGAGTCTATAGTAATGAATAAAACCAAAAAGAGGAAGAGGAACTACTCAGAGAATAAGAGAAGGCATAAGAAAAGCTAAAATGAAGGTAGGAGCTATTATTCCACAAAAAGACCTCTGGAATTAAGAGCAGAAGAGCGGACAGTAATGCAGTTAACCAAAGAATATGGACTAATTCTGGGTAGCTCAAGATGAAAAAAGTTTACATTTCTGATGTTAACAACAAAAAATAGAAATTAGAAATTGCAGGAAAAATAAAATATATTACAAAAATTTATGGCAAAATGTGAAGAAATATTATAAGAAATTCATGGAATCTAAGGAAAGAGAACCTTTGACCTAGAACTTGAAATATTCTACTTAAGCAGACTTGATTTGAGAATATAAATTATGGGCCTTCCTGGTAGTGCAGAGGTTAAAGTCTCAGTGCTATTAAGGTATTGCCAGCCACTTCAACATGAGTTCAATGCAGGCCAGGGAGCTACCCACATGGCACAACAGACCTCTCCTGTCTTGCCTGCTACTCCTCTCAACAGTTTTTGTATTTCAGTAAGTACGCCTGTTCTGCTCCCCACTCTGCCTCTGGTGAATCCTCTCATCTCCCCACCCCATACCTCAGGCCTACACCCCAGTTCTTGTATGAATAAATAAATAAAAATAAATCTTTAAAAAATAGGATATAAATTATATCTCTTTTATAGACATTCTGGTCCTGCAGTGACTAATACTGAGCAATATTATAATACTGTCAGTGATGTTTATTCCTTTTTTGATTCTCAAATCAATATATAGACAAAGCAAGGAAGAATTAAAGTTATCATTCAGAGTATAAATGCTTTCAAACTTCGCAACGTAAAAATAATGGTAGAACTTACCAATAGTAGGTGTTAGAGGTGAGGGGGAGAGATGGGAGAAAGCATAGACATGATCTACTCCATTACGTGTTATACGGTAAATGGTTACCTAACATTTCTGTAGTCGATGGAACAAGAAATAAAAGCAAACATATTATTTAACAAACCAAAAGAAGGGCCAAAAGCAAATAAATAAATAAATATGCATACATAGATAAATGGATAAATAAATAAATTAAATGTGATAGAGTAGGGATAAAAGGAAAATGGGGATTGGATGTGACACAAAATAGTAATTTTTTAACAGCAAGGAGTTAAAAGACAAATTTGAATTTATAAGTCAAGAATTAGATAATTGGGGGGCAGATCAACATGGTGGTGAGGAAACGCTGCGAGTAAGATCTCCCATTAAAAAAAGTTAATAGGGAAGAAAAACGGCAGGTCCCAGTGAGAACTAGGACACGGAAGATAAACGGTAGTTTCTGCCAGCAAACTACCCGAAGAAGAAAGTTGCCATAAAAGAGGACTAAAAGGAAGGAAAGCTCAGAACCCTGCTACCCTCCCCCACCCACATAGTCGGCACTCTCCAACCAACAGAAAGGAGGAAAAAAACAAAACAAAAAAAAAACTAAAACAACCAACAAGAACAAACTACGCATCAAGCAGGTCTGTGAATGGAAAGGAACTATTTCAGCCACCACACCCCATGAACTGGAGCTGTGGAGAACCCCGCAGGATTCGCTGTGGAGGTGAGCAAACTGCTCCAGGTGCCATTAGATAAAAACAAAGATTCCCAGAGACCTACAAACAGCCCCAGGCCAGCCAGTAAGCTTGTGCAGAAAAGCAGCACACTTGAAAAGCAAATACAGATCGCAGCTGCCCAGGTCCCCACACCTGCGACCTAGGCTTTCTGGGAGGTGCAAGGGGGCACTCACTGGGTGAATGTCCCTCGCTGAGTAGTCGGAAACCAGGCGCCCGGACACGGGAGCTGGGTGCAAAAGGCACCATTTTTGCAGACACTGAACTGGGCTACAGCCCGCATCCTGGACCTGAGTGCTTTGGAGCTGACCGGGGGCACGAAATTCGGGGTGTGGGTTCCCCATGACAGTGGGGCACAGTGCAGACACAGCACCCCAAAGCCATTGAGGCTTTCCCCACCACTCTCACTCTGTTCCCTGTCCCACAGGGTAGAAAAAAAACAGCTCCCCAAGGACACTAGGAGAGATCTCTGGCGCCACCTAGCAACCAGAAAAAAATATCACCAACACCCCATAGAACAGGTACCTTTCTTCAGTAAACACTGCTTTAAACCAGCAGAAGTCTCCTGGAGGAGCCAGTGGTGAGCTGGGAAGTTCGCCCATGCCAGGCCCCTTCCGACCAGCAGTCCGAGCCCAGAGGGGGAGCGGGCACCCACAGCCGGGGCAGACCAGGTGCACAGAAGAGTGTGCTTGAGACGAGGTGCGCAGAGAGTACATCTGTCCCGCATCACCATTTTAGAACAGGGACATTTCTTCAGTAAAGACTGCCTGATACCAGCAGAAGGCTCCCTCAGGAGCCAGAGGTGAGCTGGGAAGTTTGTCAATGCAAGACCCCTTCTGGCCTGCAGTCCCAGCCCAGAGGGGGAGTGGGAACCCACCGAGGTGGTAGACCGGGCGCGAAGAGAGTGCGTCCCGCATTGCCATTTTAGACCAGGGATATTTCTTCAGTAAAGACTGCCTGAAACCAGCAGAAGGCTCCCTGAGGAGCCAGAGGTGAGCTGGGAAGTTCGCCTACGCCAGGCCCATTCTGGCCTGCAGTCTGAGCCCAGAGGGGTAGCGGGCACCCACGGCCGGGGCAGACCGGGCACACAGAAGAGTGTGCCTGAGACCAGGTGTGCAGGGAGTGCGTCACCCATCACCATTTTAGAACAGGGACATTTCTTCAG